TAAGATATTAGCTCTGGGGAAACACGAAAATAAAAGTGGAAAAAAATACTATTTTATCTCACATTATGGAATACTCCTTGAAAGCCAGCTTCAAAGGAAACTTTTGTCAATTCCTTTCCCCTAACTGTGTCCACTACAATTTCAGGGACCTGTCTTCAAAATGACAGAGACGCCAAGTACTCTGGCTAAAGAGGCTCCACTGAAATCTCCAGCCTCAAATAGCTGTGATATCTGCAAGTAATCAATGCTCAAGCCTAATACACATGTCAAAGAACCCTCCTGCCAGGTACATACTCTCGTCACATTCCAGGTCGCACTCGAGTGTCAGCCTACGTAGATTTTTCTGAAAACACACTTGTATTCAGAATGCTCTGTGACTCTTTACTTCCCTACTTAAAAGGAAGAAAAATAAATGCAATATGCCTACCTATCCTGCTGAGGATAGTCATCTAGAGTGTTATTTTATGCTGAATATGGTGAGAGTATATTCAAAAGTACAAAACTGGGGGCCGGCCCGGTGGCGCAATGCGCTAGTGCGCCACTTGGGAAGCGCGGCGGCGCTCCCGCCGAGGGTTCGGATCCCACATACAGACCGGTTCCCGCTCACTGGCTGAGCGAGGTGTGGGAGCAACACCGAGGGTTGCAATCCCGTTGCGGGTCCCCAGTCCCGTACGGGGGCAACACTGAGGGTTGCGATCCGTTGCCGGACACGGAAAAAGACAAAAACAAAACAAAAAAAAAGTACAAAACTGAATATCCTCAAGGAGCCCAAAGTCTAGCTGAAAAAAAAAAAAATATATATATATATATAAAATTATATACGTATGTATAATTTCAGAAAATTCCTATCGATATTATCACATTTAAACAGGTCTGGAGCTTTCTCTGATATGTTTGTTTGGCATACTTCTCAGAAGGAGCAGGTTATGGTGGAAAACTGCACCATCTGACAAAACTGCGAAGAAAGAACCCTGAGCGACCTCAAGCAAGGCACCCGACTCCCCTGGGACTCAGTTATACCTCTATAAAACGAGGTTTTGGGGGAGGTGATCTTGAAAGACGTCCAGCTCTAACATGATGAGAATCAGAGCCATACTCCTAAGTTCTCCAAACTCAACCTGAGCCTTCATTAATCTTGATTTTCCGGGACTGGCCCGGTGGCGCACTGGATAAGTGCGCCGCTTGAGAAGCGCGGTGGCGCTCCCGCCCGAGGGTTCGGATCCCACATACAGACCGGTTCCCGCTCACTGGCTGAGCGAGGTGTGGGAGCAACACCGAGGGTTGCAATCCCGTTGTGGGTCCCCAGTCCCGTACGGGGGCAACACTGAGGGTTGCGATCCGTTGCCGGACACGGAAAAAGACAAAAAATAAATAAATAAATAATCTTGATTTTCCGAGACTGACAAGTCCTGGTGCGCTGGGACCTCGTTCTATTTAGTTTTGTAGACCTTACAATGCCCGTGCACAGCGAGAATCTAATAACCTCTTTAAAATTTATTTTAAGATATTTTAAAACTAATCCTAGATAAGGGGAGGATTACCGGGCACAGGTAGGGGTGGGGAGGAGGTGTAAAAAAGCCTAACCCTCATTTAAGCAACTGTTCCGTCCACTCAGGATTCCGCCGCCTGGCAGAACCCGAAGCGACTACACTAAAGGACCCGCCTCATTCACGAGCCTCTGAACCGCTGCCAGCTCCCAGCTTCCGATGCTCTCTCTGGTCCAGATAAACGCCCTGCGCGGGCACCCGGAGTGACAGCGGCCAAGTGGCATCCAGGACCGGGGCTGCCTCTAGTGCATGACAATTGGTGTTTAAAAACTAGTCAGTGGCCAGACCCGGTGAACACACCCCGAGCGGGCTCTGCACCGGTGGTTGTTACCGGTGACGGGGAGGGCGGGGCCGGAGCCGGAAAGAGCGCGCTTGCGCGAACTCGGCCGAGGGGGCGGAGGCGGGAGAGAGCGACCGTTGCTAAGGAGGGGGAGGGGGGTGACAGCAGGGACTGGGACCGAGGTGCGCAGGCGCGAAGCTCCACACCGCCTGGCGTGGGAGGAGCTTGGAGAAGGCCTCGCCCCGGCGCAAAGCGGGTCTTGCCGGGGGTCCCGTGGCCCCTCCCAATTTTGCGTCACGGGGCGTGGCTCGAGGGGCGAGGCTCCGCGTGCAGAGGGCGGAGGTGGAACGAGACCCTGAGCGCCTGCGGGCGGGCGCCGGGAGGGGTTCCGCTGGGCCGGGAAGTCGCGAAGTGTCCAAATAGCCTGGCCAGGGT